TCTGGAGCTCTGGGTTCACCTAATTGGAAATCACCTGGGACTTCGTGCTTAAGCAAATTCACCAGTCTGGCAGAGGCTGGGTGAGTGATGGCATTTTACTTTTCATGAATGTTACCAGAAAAGCTGTACTTATTAAAAAACAACTTATCAAACTCCCTGGTGCAGATGTTAAAGGTAGAAAATGTGTTGGCTCTTAGCATGAATTGTGAAAACATTGCATATATTTTGCTGAACACTTCCTTGCCAGCTGCAAAGCACAGCTACCTCCCACACTGCACATGCCAGCAAACATCTCTTATCCATCCTATTAGATTAAATCAGGCTCAATTACAATGTTTCACTGAACTGTGCAGGGGAATGTGTACAGCAATACCCCTTCTGAGTGCTTGGCTAGGTCCTTTTTCCCCTAATGTCACAGTTTACCTTCAGGGTTGATGGATGATGTTGCTCCTGTCAGGGGAGCCAGTGTCTCACTGTGCTGCTGCTGCACAGACAAGGTTCTCCCAAGGTCTGTGCTGGTGGAACTGGTGCAGCTTCCAAGCAGGAGTCACGGTGAAGATGGGCAGAGGTAGTGCAGGGTTAGTGCTTCAGTACCTTACTCTGCTGAATGAGGCAGCTGAGACCTCCAGAAATACCCAGTGGGGCATCATTTCTCTCACGTGCATGCTGGGGATGGACATCCCCACTCTCCTCCTGTGAGGATTTTGCTGAAGGTGGTGAGTGAGTGTGGCTGGGGCTGAACCAGCTCAGGCTGTGACCAGCAGGCTCCAAACAGGAGCTACTGCCCTGGGGAACCCAATGAAGGGCTGTCCTTGGGGTGCCTTTGTGTGGTAAGATACATGCAGGTACCCCCAAAAATGCCAAGGCAGTGGAAAGAATCCAAAAGGTTTATTCTGAAGTCTAGAATGCTAAAAACTCCCAAAGAGAACCTGCAGCAACTGCAAAAGTGCTGGGCCTGAGAAAGCCTCCTGTTCCCTTCCAGGCCTCTTATCTTCTCTGTCCTCCCCCAGGCCCTCCCCAAAGCAAAGGCCTGTAACACTGTGAGGGTTTATTTCTCCTCAGACCAGAGAGAAAGACTGTAGCTTTCTCTGGAATGCAGAAGGAAAAGAAACATCCAACTATCTTTGAATAAAGGGGTTTCTTCTTAGGCAGAAAGTCTCCTTAAGCGAAACATCTAATTAAGCTCTACTGTCCTCAAAGTGAAATCTTCCAGAAAAAGGGTATTTACCCCTGCAGCCTTGGGGATGCACTGGTGGTTCCTGGGGCTGTGCTGAGCTGGGGGTTCTGGCTGGATGAGGATGCTGCTCTTCTGGTCTATCAGGAAGCTCTGGGAAAGCAGTGGAGACGATGGAAGCTCTCCCAAGCACACTCGCGCTGCCAGGCTCCAGGAGCTCAAGTAGCTCAGCATTTTGCATGTGGCCACTGGGTTTTACACTCAGCTAAACCCCTGTTTATGCAGAGACTTCATTCCTCACACTTCAGATGAGTGTTTAAGCACGTGGGAAGGCAGTGATCTGCCTGCCTGAAGCTCAGGTATTAATAATAAAGTCTTTAAGACAGCAAATTGTATTTCAGCAGCACCTTTAATTCATGGCTCTCCAAATGCTGTACAGACATGGACTAATGTAGCCTCACAACAACCCTGTGAGGCAGGTGGGTGTGGTCATCCCCACCACTGTGGGGACAATGAGGGCACCAGGGATAAGGGGCTTGGAGTATCATACTGGGATTTGACCTAGAACTTTGCATTTAAGTCTCCTCAGGTCTTCAGATCAGGCTTTCCTAACACGCAGCTTTGACTTGACGTGGGGCTACGCTGATTAACGAGCCCGTGACTGCCTGGCACAGACTGTAAAGGCCACTAGTGAAGTAGGTGGTGCCTTGGTGCTTCTTGCTGCTGGATTTATTCTGAGTGTTTGAAGGCATCTCAAAAATAGAGTTAGATATCAACCACTGAGTATGGCAGGCTGTAACTGGAGAAAGCCCTTAGGCCCCAGGTGGGGAAGCTATGTAGGACACTATATGTATTGATCAGAAAGGACATAATAATTTATATATAAAATCCACCCTCGCTCTTTCCACAAAGGAAAAAAAAGAAAAAGAACCTAGAAAGTCACTGCTGGTTGTGATGTCTCAGCTTCATTCTCTGGGCTCTTCATAGCACCTGGCAAAAGAACAAGACATGGTGCATCAGCAGCCTGTTTGGGCTGGCAGAGGGAGTTCAAAGCATTGTATTCTCCCAAACTCAATCCCAGCTTTAAAACAAGTGAAAATGGTGTGAAATTCTCATGTGGGATGGATGTGAGGGCACTGAAGGGAATGTGCTTCAACCACCTGTGGAGCTGGAGTAGGTGAGCTTGGGCTGGAGGGCAAGACCTTGATTTCTCAAAGGCTGCTGACCTCTTCATTTAATGACAAACCACTCCAGCTTTGTTGGCTGGCCCTAGGCCATGTCACCTGTATACATGAGGTATATTTGACACCTCGAGTTCAGGCAGCTCAGGTAAACCTGAGATGGGCACCCAAACTTTTCACCGGGCTCACTGGAACCAGTTTGAACCTTAAGGAGTTTGATGGCAGCTGTTTTTTTGTTATATTTCTGAAGGAATAAGAGAGCAAAGAAATACCTCAAAGGCATGCTCTTATCCAGCCACAGAAATGATCCCCAGCTAACGCCCTAAAAAGCAAGGCTGAAAAGGGACACCTTTTCTGATGGTGGGTAACTCATGCTGTTGTTCATGTTGATGTTCTTCATGGAGATCAGAGTGATGCTGTTGTCCTTCTGGCTCGTGTCTGCTGAGCAGCTGTCAGGGAGAGAAGGTGGTATTAACTGCTCTGGGGAATGAGAGAGGGAATCACAGAATCACAGAGTCATTTAGGTTGGGAAAAACCTCCAAGATCATCGAGTCCAACCTGTGCCCAATCCCCACCTTGTCAGCCAGCCCAGAGCACCGAGTGCCATGTCCAGTCGCTCCTTGGACACCTCCAAGGACAAAGTTTGTTTGCACACAGCTGGAGGCAAACAGGCAAGGCTGAGCCTGGTACACAGGACCAGGACTGGTTTCCATTGCCCGTTGAGCTGCTGTCCTAGTTCAGGCTCATCCTTGGTGCCACATTCCCAGGTCTCTGGGCAAACAAGCCGTGTGTGCCCTACAGAAAGCACCACTGTCCCCTGCATCACTACTTGTAGGCAGAGTCAGGGAGCAGTTTGGTTTTGGTTCCCAGTGAATGGATTTCCTGCCAGCCCTGCAGCCCTCACCAGAACTGGAACAAAAGAGAGCATTGCTGGGAGCCCTGTCCTAGTGTGAGAAAAATCCCTTTTTCGAATTTGGAAAGACGGAAAAAACCTGTGAGACAAAGGAAGGTAACGGAAGGTTTAATTTCAGCACGCTGTGTCCCAAAGCCACTCGGGGCTGGAAGCACAGGACCAGTTTGAAAACCACACCTTTTGTAGTTCTTTTGGTTACATA